TAAACAAGATTAGAAGAATAAGACACAAAAAGACAGAAAAGCCCTTCTAATTCACGGTCAACAAACGGCTTCATTGACGGATGATCAAAATTGTCCAACGACCAATAACAGTGTCTACAAAGTGACAATTTTTGTTATGGAGGATGAAAAGTGTCAATGCCTCAATAAGTCTAGGACCAAAAATGGCATTAACTCCGGAATACAATACAAGAATATTTAATTATGGTTGTATTATTATTGTGCCTCACGACTATTATATACTAACAGTACTTGAAAAGAAACTAATAATAATAATAATAATAATAATAATAATAATAATAATAATAATAATAATAATAATAATAATAATAATAATATAATATAAGTGGTAATAACAATATCTAAAATTAATTAAGTGTTAATAATAATATTAAGAATATTAACGTAAGAGTTGTAACATAGAATAAATTGTAATAATTAATAACTATAGTCTAGGATTAAATTTGGAATTGTCAGGAAAGATAAACGACCTTGAAATCAACTCTTAAATAATTATATATCGATTTAAATATTCTTAATATATTACAACAATTCCATTCTGTGCATCGCACGGGTGAAAATACTAGTTATATATAATGCTAACAACTATTATTATTATGATTTAACACATGCCCAATGGGACTCAAACTCACAATCGCTTGATTAAAAGTCAAACGCCTTATCCATTAGGCCATGGGCGCCTCAATGTATTATTAGGATCCTGGGTCAAGAAAGTTGTTTTCAAAATTGACTCGAACCCACAATCACTTGATTAGAAGTTAAACACCTTATCTATGAGCGCCGCATGATTTAACACGCCCAGTGGGACTCGAAACCACAATCGCTTGATTAGAAGTCAAGCGCCTTATCCATTAGGCCATGAGCGCCTCATTTATTAAGCCATGGGCATTTACTAATTATTCTAATATATTATGAGTTCAAATTCTTGTTAATGACGACATTTTAAATATTTTATATTAACATATTATTAATTAGTGACTTGAGAGTCATTTATTTCCATTGAATTTAGCCACATCAACATATATAGCAGCTTAATTGATGAATGTTAATAATTTTACTTTAGTATTTTATTTGTAATAGTATAAGAATTAAATTGATCAATTTTATGCCAAAGACCTTGTGGTCAAGCGCCTTATCCATTAGGCCATGGGCGCCTCAATGTATTGTTAGGACCCTGGGTCAAGAAAGTTATTTTCAAAAGTGAAAATCACGGCGTGAACAGTCTTCTCTTTCAGACTTTCACACCCACCCCTTCTCCACCCTACTTTTTTTTTTTCTCTTTAAAAATATGATATTATTATTCTAATGTGTTTTTTTTTTCTCTTTAAAAATATGATATTATTATTCTAATGTGTTTTGAGGTAATGGTAAATTATATATAATGCTAACAACTATTATTATTATGATTTAACACATGCCCAATGGGACTCAAACTCACAATCGCTTGATTAGGCCATGTGCGCCTCAATGTATTATTAGGACCCTGGGTCAAGAAAGTTGTTTCCAAAATTAACTCGAACCCACAATCACTTGATTAGAAGTCAATGTATTATTAGGACCCTGGGTCAAGAAAGTTGTTTCCAAAATTAACTCGAACCCACAATCACTTGATTAGAAGTTAAACGCCTTATCCATGAGCGCCGCATGATTTAACACGCCCACTATATCCATGAGCGCCGCATGATTTAACACGCCCAGTGGGACTCGTACCCACAATCGCTTGATTAGAAGTCAAGCACCTTATCCATTAGGCCATGAGCACCTCATTTATTAAGCCATGGGCATTTACTAATTATTCTAATATATTATGAGTTCAAATTCTTGTTAATGACGACATTTTAAATATTTTATATTAACATATTATTAATTAGTGACTTGAGAGTCATTTATTTCCATTGAATTTAGCCACATCAACATATATAGCAGCTTAATTGGTGATGTTAATAATTTTACTTTAGTATTTTATTTGTAATAGTATAAGAATTAAATTGATCAATTTTATGCCAAAGACCTTGTGGTCAAGCGCCTTATCCATTAGGCCATGGGCGCCTCAATGTATTGTTAGGACCCTGGGTCAAGAAAGTTGTTTTCAAAAGTGAAAATCACGGCGTGAACAGTCTTCTCTTTCAGACTTTCACACCCACCCCTTCTCCACTCTACTTTTTTTTTTCTCTTTAAAAATATGATATTATTATTCTAATGTGTTTTAAGGTAATGGTAAATTATATATAATGCTAACAACTATTATTATTATGATTTAACACATGCCCAATGAGACTCAAACTCACAATCGCTTGATTAGGCCATGGGCGCCTCAATGTATTATTAGGACCCTGGGTCAAGAAAGTTGTTTCCAAAATTGACTCAAACCCACAATCACTTGATTGTGCAACTTATCCATGAGCGCCGCATGATTTAACACACCCAGTGGGACTCGAACCCACAATCGCTTGATTAGAAGTTAAGCGCCTTATCCATTAGGCCATGAGCGCCTCATTTATTAAGCCATGGGCATTTACTAATTATTCTAATATATTATGAGTTCAAATTCTTGTTAATGACGACATTTTAAATATTTTATATTAACATATTATTAATTAGTGACTTGAGAGTCATTTATTTCCATTGAATTTAGCCACATCAACATATTTAGCAGCTTAATTGATGATGTTAATAATTTTACTTTAGTATTTTATTTGTAATAGTATAAGAATTAAATTGATCAATTTTATGCCAAAGACCTTGTGGTCAAGCGACATGAAGTGACTTTCTCAATTGGAAGGTCATGGGTTTGAGCTTCAGTGGGGGCGATATTGACTTATTGGACTTTGATACTTTGAGAAAATATATTTGAATAGATACTACCTGTAAAAGGGTTAATAATACTCAAAGTGATTAATTTTATAATACATGTATTAAATTAAATATTTTATCTAAAAACATAATAAGTCACAATCAAAGTTATATCACTCATTTATGTTTATGTTTTTAATGCTAATCATTTTGTACATTATGCCTTTAGAGTTGTATTATATAATTTTTTGGACAAAAATACCCCTATTTTTTGTACATGGGCGTGTCACAATCATGTCCCTCTCTGGAACATAGGGATAACATGGTCGTGTCGATCTCTTGGCATCCTATTTTGCTTGGTACGTTGACGACCGCCTAGGATATCGTATTTGGAGTCGAAGTTGAAACCTACACTAGTATAGAACTGCACATCCGCCACTGTTGTAAATAACTTTTCGCAACTGTTGTACAATAGTTACGGATCGCATAGTCACTAAAAGTCGTTGACTTTCCGCCACTGTTCCACAACAGTGGCGGAAGGTGAAATTGCTTAAATATGATTTTTTTTTTTATTAACTCATCTTAGGTATTTTATTTTCCATGACATTTAGGGCTGTGCAAAAACTGACCCACCCGAATAACCCGACCGACCCGAACCCGATTCTACACTATTTGGGGCAATCCGAACCCGAACGGCATTACCCGAACCGACGTGACGAAACTAAGCCGGTTAGAAGGAGGCGGGTTGGGGGTTATAAAATCTCCCCGAACCCGTCCGACTACCCGAATTAGGGTAAGGGTTCGTATACCCTAAGGTATACGACGTCGTCCTAGCGGTGTATATATGTTGCGTTCGATGGAAACCCTAGCCATTCCACTCATTTGCGCAGCTTCCTCTTCTTTCTTCTGACCTCTGAGAACTCTCTAGACTCGTTCTCTCGTTAGTTCTTACTTCTTTCTTAGTTTCTTCTCCAGTTCTCTGATTCTGTGAGAGTGTGAGACTCTGAGTTCTCTCGTTCTCTCTGAGTTTCTTCTAGAGTTGTAGACTTGCTCAGTTAGAGACTGAGAGTGTGAGTCTCCGGTGGAAGCTAGGTAATATTGTTCGGTGGAAGCCCTATTCTGGACGACCGGTGGCCGGTGCGGTGGATTGTAGAGTGCTGTCACGGTCTAACGGATTTGAAGCCCTTTGTTCTCGGGGGTTTGATTTGGAGAAACGAAGTAATCTCTAAACCCTAATCTTAGACATACTTAGATTATACTCTTATATGTTGTGATACTTTGGTGTTAGTTGTGATTGTATGATTCTGATGACTGTGACAATGTGAATCTGTTGAGAAGTTCCGGATTGCATGTCACTTGTCCCTTATTTGTGAATTTTTGATCCTTTGATTAGGTTTTCTATGATTATGTCATTTATGTGAACTGTGACAATGTCAATCTGTTGAGAAGTTCCGGATGGCATGTCACTTGTCCCTTATTTGTGAATTTTTAATCCTTTGAATCTTTGATTAGGGTTTCTATGAATGATGAATCTATGATTATGTGGACTGTGACAATGTGAATCTGTTGAGAAGTTCCGGATGGCATGTCACTTGTCCAGTTGTCCCTTATTTGTGAATTTTTGATCCTTTGATTAGGGTTTCTATGAGTATGTGGACTGTGACAATGTCAATCTGTTGAGACTTTTTAGAATCACTTAGTTGTGATTGTATGATTTGTATGTATTGTTTGTGGAAGCCCCTAAGTCCCTAACCCCGGCTGTTGGATGTTGCCTGTGTTGGTGAAAATGGTGGAAGCCCCAATTGTAACTACCAACTGTGAAATCCGGTAAAATGATGAATGTACAGTTCAGGCTAACAGGTTCCTGATTTCTGGATTTCTTTGTCACTTTGTGTGATTAAATGTGATACTGTGATTGTATCCCTATATGTCTGTATAGATTATAACTTAAAAGTTATAAATTTATGGATGTATGACCCTTAATAGTTAATTCCTTAAAGTCCCAACTATGAAATTTAGAAAAATGATGAAGTTAAGAGGTGCCTGTCTTCTGATTCTGGATTTCTCTAGTTCTCTCAGTTCTCTGTGACTATATGAATATCTGATTTTGTTCAATATGTTTCCCACTGAGTAGTGACCACTATACTGATAGTATTCCATTTACTTAGATGGAAAATATCATAGAGTCTGGAAGTCAACCTTCTAAATCTTCAATTGATGGGTCTACAGTGGTGGAAGGCCAAACTGTTGACACAAATAATCAACAGAATGTGCAACCTACTACTGCAGTTCCTGAGAAGAAGAGGAAGATTGTTGACTCCAGATCTCCAGTGTGGGATCATTATGAAAAAATTAAGGATAGTACTGGTGTTACTATCAAAGGCAAGTATATATATTGTGTCAAAATATATCAATGTCAATCTAAAAAGCATGGTACTACCTCCTTGAGAAACCACATGCTTAGCTGTTTGAAAAACCCCCACTCTAAAGACACTAGACAATCACTGTTAACCTTTCAAGCTATTACAAATTCTGATGCATCTTCTGCTACTGTTGGTGAGTTAGGAACTTGGGTCTTTAACCAGGAAGTTATTAGGAGGGCCTTGGTTGAAATGATTATATATAATTGATGAACTGCCTTTTAGATTTGTGGAGGGTCCAGGGTTTAAGAAGTTCATTCTGGTGGCTTGTCCTAGGTTTAAGATTCCATCTAGATGGACAATTAGTAGGGACATCAATCTGATTTATGAAGAGGAAAGATTGAAGTTGAAATGTGTTTTTAGGGGGAACACTCAAAGAGTCAGTATTACAACTGACACTTGGACTTCTATTCAGAGAATTAACTACATGGTAGTGACTGCCCATTTTATTGATGAAGAGTGGAAGCTTAACAAGAAGATTATCTCATTTGTCCCTATTACATCACATAAGGGTGAGGCTGTAGCAAAAGTCCTTGAAACCTGTTTACTTGATTAGGGGATTAGGAATGTGTATAGTATAACTGTAGACAATGCTTCATCTAATGACACTGCTATAGGTTTTTTAAAAAAGAAATTGAAGTCTTGGGGAACATCTACTGTGAAGGGCAAGTATATTCACATGAGATGTATTGCTCATATTCTGAACCTTGTTGTCCAAGATGGCCTGAAACAATGTGATGCTTCTGTGAAGAGGGTAAGGGAGGTTGTAAGATATGTGAGGAGTTCACCTGCTAGACTTAAGAAATTTAAGGACTTGGCTGAGTGGAATGGGATTGAACAGAAATCTTCTTTGTGTCTAGATGTTCCAACCAGATGGAACTCTACATATCTTATGTTACAATCTGCAATTACTTATGAGAAAGTGTTTGAGTCACTTGAAGAAAGTGATACTGCCTACAAATCAGATCTGTATGATGTTGTTCCTAATTTTCTTGATTGGGAGTCTGTGAAGAGTTTGGTGGAGATCTTGAAATGTTTTTATGATATGACAATAAGAATTTCTGGTTCTTTATATGTCACTTCTAACACTTTCTTTTCTGAAATTTCTGATTTATACTGCCTCTTGAATGGCATGGTGGAAGCTAGAGGGTCTGTGAAACTGATGGGGGAAAATATGAAGGCTAAATTTGAGAGATATTGGGGGGATATAGATAAAATAAACTTGATGATATTCTTTTCAAACATTCTAGACCCAAGAGACAAGTTAGAGTACATGGCAACACAGATGAATCACATGTATGGTGAGGAAAAAGGTAAACCATACTATGAGAAAGTGATTGCAGCCTTGAAAGAGTTGTTTAATGATTATGCTGCCTCTACTCCTGTCAGTACTCCTACTGATTTTTCACAGTCTACAGTTGCGAGGCCCCAACATTTGTTAAAGTCACAGATTAAGAAACAAAGATTGGAGAGTGGGGGAATGAAAAAAAAAAAAACACAAAGTTAGAAATTTACCTTGCTGAGGCAATAGTTGAAGAGGAAACCTCTTTTGACATACTTAGATGGTGGAAGTTGAATGCTGAAAGGTTTCCTATCATTTCTAAGATAGCTAGGGATGTTTTAGCTATACCAATATCTACTGTTGCATCAGAATCTGCCTTCAGTACATCTGGTAGGGTTTTGGATCCTTTTAGGAGTTCATTAACTCCTAAAATTGTGGAAGCTTTGGTATGTACGCAGGATTGGCTTAGGCTATCAAATACCCCATTATCAATTGAGGAAAATCTGGAGGAATTGGAGAGATTTGAACAAGGTAACACATTCTATTCTATTTTTTTTTAACCATTTGTTATTTCCTATTTTCCTTATAATTTTTTGTTGTTGCAGAAATTGGTACTGATGGTGGCAGTGGAACTGGAAGGAGTGGTGGTTCTACACTTGCTACAATTCCTGTAATGCTATGCTTTGTACTTTATACTTTATACTTTTGTTTCTGTTTGAATGTATTCTGTAATACATTTATGCTGTTTGCTTGTTATTCATGACTCATGAGGCTTGCTTGCAGCTGGCTTGGTAACTAATTAAATTAGTTGCTGCCATTGTAAGTTGTTACATTGTTGGTAAGTTGGCACATTTTACAATTTTTTTTATGTTTTATACTTTTATTATATTATGGCCATGATGAAAGCTTCCACCAATGATCTGAAAAATAAGGGATTAAGCTGGTATGTTGCTCCATTCTCATGGGGATGTTGTAGCAATTTCCCCTTAATCCTAACTTTGATATGGATAAAAAGCTTACTGAGCCAAGTTTATAATTGTCTAATGATATTTTGTTGCTCAATAACTTATTTTTGCTATTTGGCATTTTGGCTTATTGCTAACTTTGCTTATGTTTTGAGTGTTTACAGGAAGATGAAGAACAATAGGAAGAGATTAGGAACTCTAGGAAGACTAGGAACTTGGAATATTCAGTACTTTATTCAGTTTTTTGGCATGTAATTGCAATTTGCAATGATAATTTTTTGACTTAAGTGCATATTCAGACATTCAGTAGTATTTTTGCATGTAATTGCAGTTAGAGTAATATGTAATTGCATGTATGTGATATTAACTTTTTATATTTACAGTGTTTTGTTCAATTTTGTAGTTATTTCTTTTATTTCATTATTAATCTACTATCCGAAATTGATTCGGATATCCGACCGAATTGACCCCAACCGAAGTTCAGTAAAACCGAATAGATTTCATAGATTAAAAAACGAAATAGGATTTACATAATGATATCCGAAATCCGAAAGGGTTGCCTATCTGCCCAACCGAACCGAACCGACCGATGCACCCCTAATGACATTTGGAAATGACTGTTCAACTAACAAGATAAAACTACCCTCATATGATTTGATTGTATCTAGCATAATTTGAGGATAAAATTTATCAAATAATGCTTATTTAAATATTGCAATAATGTGTATTATATTATTATAATAAAACATATAATTATAATATTTTAATTTAAGTTTTAAAATTTATAATATTTTAATTTATAATTTATAATATTTTAATTTATAAATTTCTATTACTTTTATTATCAGTATTATTTATGTAGTGACATATTAGTCTTTATGCTCATTATTCCTTATAATTTCAAACCCAACCAAATAATTGAATAAATATTCCTAGTAATTTATTTTCTATCAACCAAACAATGGAATCATTCTTCCCAATAATTTTTTCCATGAAGAAATTTAAATTTCATCCGTCGCTAGAAAGGGAAAAACCGATCGCTAAACCGTATAGCGCTAAAAGTTGACTCGCTAAAGTTTTGTGACCCAATTTTATTCCATCGCTAAATTTAGCGATGGATTTTTCCGTCATTAAACTTAAAAAATTCGTCGCTATTTTCCTCAGGTGACAATTTTTTCGTCACTAAACTAAAAACATCCGTCGCTAATTACCTCTCGCGACGATTTGTGTGAGAAAATTTGCAAGAAAATAGTGACGGACGCTTCTGTCGCTAATTGTAGCGACGAAATTTTTCATCGCTAAATTATTTTTGCCGCTATTTCACTGTCATTTTTTATTGTTAAAAAGTATTTAGCTACAGATTTATTACAATTTTTTGTTCATTGCTAAATTTTTAAAATTAAAAAAAAAAAAAAAAAAAAAAAAAAAAAAAAAAAAAAAACTGACCACTAATTAATATCGCAGGCATGTATTAAATCTATAATATAATCCTTCAATAATATAATTGTAAATATATTATATTAAGAAATTCAAACTCAATGCCAATACCAAAAGTATAACAGTGTAAAGTGTTACATCGTTAAAAACGATACCAAATATATTGATACACATAATCTAATCGTCTCCTAAGTTTTTAGGATTTGAATTAGCAGAATGTTCAACTTGAGTATTTGGAGGTCGTGGCATAGAAGTGAGTAGAATACCGTTGTGACGCAACTCGTTCATCAAACTTGTAATCTAAGCTTGCATTTGAGATCTTTTAGCTCGTAGTTGAGCCTGCACCTCAGCCTGTCGATAGAATTAGTTAATCTATTTGAGGATGGAATTAGTTATGAACACTCTATACGGGTTTACCTCGTTGTGATTCTTTGACAGTTAGGATCATAAAGTAAAATTTAACTAATGCACACTTTTGGATACTAATTGCGGTTTCTCTCCTCACTTTATATATATATATATATATATATATATATATATATATATATATATATATATATATATATATGCGGCGGGGTCTTCCCGTGCGGCGGTGCGGCGAAATTTCAGAATACACCAACAATGTTAACAATATAGACCAACAGTGTAAGGAAAACACACCACAATGAAATGCAATAAAACATCAAAAAATACACAACAGACCCAAAAAAATACACCATATAACTCACCACCCCTAATGGTGTATTTCCGAACACTGTATGGTGTTTTGACTCACACCTAATATAATTATTGTCATAATCTCAAATTATTTAAATTTTTTTCTCAAATAGTTTCAAAATTTAAAAACTATTTAATTTTGGGCATCTTTTCTGCAATCATTATTATGTGGACCATGGTCCATTCAAGTTGTGTGGACTATATTTTGTATACTATAAAATAATGTACATTCAGTACAAAAATAATGTACATTCAACACAAAAATAATGTATATTGTATTCAGGGGATGTACATTAATGTACATTATTTTTATACTGAGTGTACATTATATTGTATAATATATATTCAATACAAAAATAATGTATATTTAGTATATTAAAAATATATTTTATATTATGACCTACATAACATTGTGTGTCCCATGATCCATACAATAATTTGCCTCTTTTCTGGGTTTAGTTTTAATAAAAAGTTACCAACGTAAGAATTTCATTTTAGTGAAATGAATGACCAAAAATTCATACTCCGTATTAGTTAAAAAGATTGAATGTTAGCCCACAGAAAGCACATGCGAAATGTACACAGGTAACACAGCACAGATCCATTTTTATTGAGTTTTTGGGCCTACACTTTCATTTTAGAACTTTTGAGGCCCAAGGTCCAGACCAAGCTAAAAGGCTTAGCCTAGTAGTTTTCCGCCAATTTAGCTAAGCTTATTTAATTGGCAATTATCATGGAACGTTATGTTGTGGAATCGCGCCCACCTTTTAAAAGGTGGGCACGGTTCCATATCCATAATTTCTATATTGTAGATTCATAAGTTTTATACTGTAAATTTATAAAATCTATACTTTAGATTTATAATTTCTAAAATCGTAGATTCATAATTTAAATATAGTAGAATCATAATTTCTATACAATAGATTTATAATTTCTATACTGCAGATTCATAATATCCGTACTGCAGATTCATAATTTCTAAATTGTATAGTTATCAAATTATGAACATATAGTTCTGTGATTTGTGAAAACAGAGTTCAACAATTGGAAATATGAACATATAGCTCTATAATTATGAATCTACAGTATAGAAATTATGAATCTACAATATATAAATTATGGATATGGAACCGTGCCCACCTTGCAAGTTGGGCACGATTCCACGACATAATTTGGCTTATATCATCAATAGTTATTGCGTGGACCGTGATCCACACAACTGTGTGGACTACAGTCCAAAAACGACGTCGTTTTGCTTAGTTTTATTTTTTCGCCCGCCCAGCTGCAACATACATTTTAACAACTCATAATGTACATTATTCTAAAACATAATGTACATTATTCTAAAGCATAATGTACATTATTTTAACATAATGTACATTATATTACCTCAGATGTTTCATTATTCTAACACGTAATGTACATTATTTTAACACATAATGTATATTATTATAACACATAATGTACATTATTCTAAAACATAATGTACATTGTTCAAACACATAATGTACATTACTCAAACACATAATGTACATTATTTTTACTCATAATATTCATGACGATGCTTTGGACCGTGGTCCACACAGCTGTGTGAGCCGTAATTTTCCTTATATCATTGACCAAGGTCTACACAGCATTATGGATCTTGGATCGAAACAACAAGGTAAAGAATTCATACTTGTAAGATATAGAATTTCATAACAAAAGACACAAAAAATCACAACACAAGACACATACACATGTTATATATTTACTTATTTTTCAAATCTGAGTTAGATACATAATTTCACAACACAAGAGTGACAAGACACAGAAATTCATAACATAGGACACAATTACTAATTTGTTCCAGGTACAAAATTTATACTATTAAGGTATAAAATTTCGTGACACAAGACACAAACTCACAACATAAGACACATACAAATGTAATAGAGTCCATAGTACATTGTGAACCTTGGTCCATGGTATAAGGATTATTGTATTTAATTTATACAAGTATATAGAGTAGCAAAATTTATTATATTGTTTCATTCAAAAAAAAAAAAAAAATCTTGCTAAACTTTTTTTTTTAATTACTCATATGTATATCACTTAATCGGGCATTATGCAACAAAAGTAGAGTAGAATAGTGTTATTTTTTTGTTAGACCACAAAGTATTTTTAGTAGGCACTAATTATATGACGTACCATTAATAATCTCATATTATATTTAGATTAATTCTCATTCACATTCGGTTGATTCATTTAATTTTGAGATAAAGTACTGGTTATATTAGGTTTTCATATGAGATGGGATTTTTAAATTCTCAACGTTTTTAAGTACGTGATGAAAATGTATGATCACTCACCAACGTAACAAAACTGATGGAGTATAGTTGTTTTTGAGATAACATCATATCTATCTTGTAGGTGTTTGCTAAGTTAAGAGTGGAATCCCTAAAAGCAATAAGTTCATTATTAATTTTTCATTCATCTCCATTGTATGTACTATCGCACCATCACAAAATTTAATTTAGTAATTTTCAAATTATATTAAATTATTAAAGATCCCCACACAGCTAATTTGATTATGAACTAACTCAATGTAAATAATTTTCCTTAGATCGATTTCAACAAATGTACAATAAAGTCTCATCTAATTATGTGAGTTGTTGGGACTAGTATACTAATCCATAAAGTAGTGAACTACTGTACAAATGGTCCCCATAAAATATATGTTATTTTGTATCAATATTGTGCCAAATGATGTGCAAAATGGGCTTCCTCAGGATACTTCATAGTCTGACAAAAAATATTGTGCCAAATGATGTGAATTTTGACGGGTTTTGTTAACCCAAGGTATATACTAGGGATTAGAGCAAATTATTGTGTGAACCGTACTAAATTCTCTATTGTGGCCTTATCTATGTGGATCACGGTCCAAGCAATAAGAACATCCATAATAGTTAAGTTTTTTTGTGGTTTTTGTAAGTGTGTTTAAGAAAGAGAATATGGGAGGCAATTTATATCGTGCACCACAACGTACATAGCAATATGCGCCCAGGCACAAAACGCGCGCGTTTCATGCTGACATCACTTTGTCCGTCCGAACAGACCAA